TCTTGAATAAAAGACAAATGAATACAAATCTTTTTGAAGCTGCTGCAAACAATACTATTTATTGTTTTAGGTTATTAAAGCTAGTAATACCTTTAATATATATTAATAAGATGCAAAGGTAATATCTTTTACCTTCTGAAGGCTGCACTATATAAACTCTTCCAATTGTAGATGTAGTATTTTTACGAGATTTCTATATATAGTTAGCTTCATTTCAAGTATAATAAATAGTAAACTCACCATACATATAAGCGTGAGCTATAATATCTTCTAAATTTATCTGAAACTAAGTTGTTAAAGTCATTTTATATAAATTAGCACATTAAAAATCTTTTTCTTTCTAAAAAGTAATAAACTGTTGATTCAGAAAATGAATAGCAAGCTATTGTACTGCTAGAGAATGGCCATATATTTTGTAATAGAAAATTCTTCAAATGCTTTCAAAAGATGAAACATATCTTGCATTAAGATATATTTTAATCTCATCAATAGGTTCAGTATGATCTAATGTATGCTGTCTATTATTATAAGCTGATTAATATAATGCTATTGTAGCCTGATCATGACCCTTATAAACATATTTATATAGATACTTAATGGATAATATTAAGTTGCAAATTTTAACATTAATATGGACATTATATTTTGTCACTAAATCTACATTATGTAATACAACCTATCTGTTATTCAATAGAGCATTATTTCTAGTTTTAACGAAACGGCCATTATCTCTTCCATGGTAAATTGGATAACCATTATTATCTTCTTTAATTATTTCATTAAAATTCTTTAGGTAATGTTTCTGACATATAACATCTTTTATATACAGTAAAAAAGGGTTCATAGTATCACATAAACCATGTATCATTATGGCTATCATAGTTCTATATGCAAGTGAATATATCAAAAAGTTTGGGATTTCAGCTAAGACAATAGAGTTATAATCTTTTGTTATTCGCAACTTATTTTCTAGTCTAATATAAGTAAGAAGTGGGTATGCAGTAGACCATATTTTTGAAATTTTATAATATATATATATGCTATAACCTTATCAAGAAAATTATTATGCAATAGATCTTTTAAAAACTTTTGCAATTTTATATAAAACATATAAGTACTCAAGTCAGGATGATCATTAGCACTTTGATGAGATCCTAACTTCCTGGTAATTTCAAATTATTTTGGATTGCAGGTGAATATTACAAAGAAATCGGACTTGCTAAAATAACTCACAATGGCCATTACATTCTAATATAACTGATATATTTAGCACAGACTACAAACAAATAAAGATGGAAGAATTATATGATGACCAACATTATTTTTGCTCACAGCATATAATGCATCTGAAACTTCATAATAAAAATTAATACGTAGAGAGGCTTGATTCAGTTTAAGATAATTCAAACGATTCTTTTCTATCTTAACATATTGGTTAAAAATATACTGTTAATATAAATGGCTTGCATTATGAATCCAATCTCCATCCCTAATCTATAATCTATAAGAATAGAATTATATTGTTGATATACTTTTTCTTTTTTTAGAACCTATAAGAGGTATATTCACATACCATCCATTATCACCTTATAAAAATAGCAACACATAATGAAGGGAATCATAAGATAAATAAGCTTCTTATATTCTTTATAGGCTTCCATCGTGTATCCTAAGAATAATATCATAATTTGTTATATGTAGCTTATAACTATCATCAACCATGATTACAGCAACTCAGAAGTAGAAGAAGCATTGTAGCGATAGAGATTTTATATTCACTCAACATGAATGACCATAAAATTTTATCAGATATGTTTGTTTAAATAAGATCTCTTACGTGATGAAAGTTCTAGATATAAGGATTGCATTCACCTAATATGGTTAGCAGATTATGTAGAATGGCATCATTCAAATCTGACATAACATTATGATGATATGTATTCTCATGCATAGTATTATAGATGTATAACTGTGCGAATGTCAGCTGAAGACCTTCCTCTAGTAGTAATGAACTAATATGATGATAAACTTGGCTATGAATATGAAAATCAAAAATGCCTTAATCTGAGATTGTGTCTATAGTTGTATCAAATGATGTATATGTCAAAACATTATTATAATACCTAATAATTTTATGAAAAAAGATTATATTAGAGTCAGACGAAGTATACAGATTTATCAAATAAAAAGGTGGCCTAATCAAATATGGTAAATGAACTTTACCATACATATAGTAAGTCAAAAATGTAGAAAATATAAGAGAGCTATTCTGGTTTTTTTCATCTATCCAAAATTTAATATCACAATGAATGCAGATTTGATCTATTCAGTCTAATTCATAACATGTTATCCTATTATTTATACGTTCTAATTCATCTATTTTTCTTTCACCAGTTATAGCATTTTGTCTTCTTCTTAAATAATTCTTTCGTTTTTTTTTTAAATTGGCCTGCCTCTCTTTTGCCAACCTTTTTTAAGTGATTTACTTTCTTTTTATCCAGTTAGCAATTGAGTTTCAGGTAGACAATTTTCATAATTGATATTTCTCCTTTTTCTCAAACTAGCCTGCTTTTTCCTTGTTAATCTCTTTTGACATAATTCAGTAAATTTACTTAGTTCCTGTTCAGATGGCATCAAAGTATTAGGAATATTGATAAAATTAGTATTTCAGAAAAAATATCATGTTTTGCAAAAAAAAATGTCATTTAAATGCAAAAATTCACACGTTTAAAAAATAAAT